ATTCCAAACAGCCAGCCATGCCCTTTTCCAGGATACTCCATTCTCCCTGTCCATTTTTTCTTTGCTAGCTGACATTCAACATTCTATGGCTATTGAGTATGCTCAATTAACATTTGGATTTGAGTTTTTGTCCCCATTGGAATTGTAGATTTAGCCAAGTATTATCTTTGGACCAATTCTGAGAAGATGTACATTTTTATTATCTACTTCTAACCAATATGCACCCAGTAAGTCTTTGTACTTCTTAACATTCTGAGTAAACCTGTGTAAAGATTAGTTCTTGCAGTATCAGGAGTGTTTATGCTCAATGGAGAACTTTACAGTAGCTTATCTTTTTTATAGCAAAAGATATATAGCAGTTTCTGCAGACAGAAGAAATTGCTCATTTTGTTGGCAGAGCTCAGCCAGATGTACAAGCTAAGTAAGCTGAACCTGTTGTTACTACTGAATAAGTTTTAAATTTATTTTATGGAGCACATTATTCTTCATACAATGCTTACTCTACTTTTAAACTAAAATATCACTAAGAAGAAATTTTCTTGAGTATTAGATAGAGCAGATTTCTGCAGGGTGCATAAGATTTGAAAGCAGAGCATGTTATGCTCCCTATAATAAGCTAAATATATGACTCCAAAAACACAGAAGCAACAGAACAGTTGAATAATAAGCGGGCATAGCTACATTTCTGAAAATAGATATATTTGAAATTATGCCTACTAATTATTGTAGAGGTTGCTACATAAATAGCAAAAGTAAGAATAATTTTTAAGATGGAAAATAGCCTTTAATAAAAAGGGGATCAGTAGTTGTATTTTGCTGTGGCTTTGGTTTGCTGAGTTTTGATGAAGTACTGCTGTTGTTTATCATACTGCAGTATTGTAAAGACCATAAAGCAATGGTGGTGGGAAAAGGTGAAACTCCAGATCCATCACTGCAGGAAATATAGGGCTGAAAGGAATATCAAACTTCTTAAATTAGTAACTCTATGACATAGAACACTGCTTGTGACACCATAAAAGCACTGCCACACAGGTCAGATTTATCTGTAACATGAGTTGCATCCAGTGTATTACTGTGTCACAGCACAGAGCTATATTGCTTCAGATGGCTATGCTTTAATGCACCTCTCATGGAAAACCAACCTGGCCATTTGAATTACTACAGAACAGCTCTGTGTGCTATTCCAAGCATAAAAAGCAAAACAGTCTCAAAAACAGCAAATTATTGTCAAGGAAAAGCACCTTCATTCAGTAGCTCGCAGATATCTAGCCAAGATCTTATGTAGGAAGGAACAAAACAAAATACACAAGATAACACAACACCTAGGGACAAAAAAGCAGAAGCACTGTGTAACTTACGCTGCACTATTTACTATGTTCCTGCTATTCTCCTGAGATCTCAGTTCTATTTCTGAAGAGCAGCACTGAAATGGTGACCTGTGGATCCTAAAAGTTCTACTAGATGGTGTTAGGGAAGATGCAGCAATCTTGCACTCTGGCACCTATGACATAGGAAAATGTGCTCATAAAGTCCTGAAAGGCCTTGTGAAAACTGGGATCCTCAAGATAGTGTTATTTTACATGGGGAGTCAGGTAGATAGGAAAAGCTGAAACATCTCAATGACTGGATACAGTGGTGATGCAGAGGAGGTTTTAGATTTGTTAGGCACTTGAAAATGTTTTGGGAGAAACTAAGCCCATAGGAAAGAAATGAGCGCCACTCAAACCAGAATGGAACCAAACTGCCAGTCGTTGAAACCAAAAAGTTGGAAGCACAACTTTTTAAAATAACTCAAGTGGATAGACATTAAGTCTTATGGAAGGTCTGGGCCAAGTTCACTCATTGTTCAGGGAGGAAGATGAAAATGTTTCTGATTGTCTGCATGGATAGGGTGGCAATTGGCCACAAGCATTAAGTAAAACATGATAGCCAATGTGTAACATCATTGCAAGAAGAGTCATGATACATAGCCATGTCTGAACAGATACTATTAAAGAGTCTGAGGCAATTAGTGGTGACAAGATAAGAAATTTTAGACCAACTTTTCCCGACCTGGTGCCTTTCAGGTAATTTGGTCAATAATTTCAACCATCTCTGACCATTGGCCATGGTGGTTAGGCAAAACATCTGGAAGACACTAGGTTTGGTGTTCTAGACTTTACCGATAACTTGAAAACAAATATATTACCAGATCCAGGTGCTATGCATATGAGAGTTCTTTAGGAATTCAAAGATGACATTGCTGATTTTCTAATAAAAGTGTCTGCTGCTTTCTGCATATCAAATGCAAGGGGGGATCATCTTTAAGCACATCTTTAAGGTCAGCCTCTGTACTGGAGGACAATGTGACACCAATTTTTACAACTGGATCCAAACAGAGTCAATAAACATGAGGCTAGGGATAGTCTGGTGGACATTGGGTAGACACTGACCATGGAGATAGTGGCTTCTTTTTCCAACCCCAGTGCCCCACACATTTTTCCTAATTATCCTTCTAGCACATGGTGTGCCATGGCATCCAAACCTAGCAAGGTACATGTGGGACTAACTCCAAAACCCACCCATTAACCCATGGCTTGTTGTAGGATTCAGGGGTGTATTTGAAGACACCTCCATTATGCACCTTACCAGGTTGGGACAACACAAGCCACACACTTCAGGGGTAATGGGGTAAATCACATGTTGTGTGCCCAGCATGTTCAGGGGCAAGGAAAAGACACTACCATGGTTTCTTTTCTCCATGATTATGCAAACCCAGTCAGAGTTTACCTGGCCAAAATAAATAAAAAAGAAAAATCCTGACTTTATGCCGATGGGATCTGGGCTGGCAGTAACTGAACAAAAAAAGAATTATAAACCCAATGAGCCTGAGGCAACTCCGTGCTGGAAAGCATTAGGAAAGGTATCCAAAATAAATAGAAGATCCAGTGTGGTATAGTGGTTAGTGGTAGACTGGACTTGGGAGATCTGGGTTCCAGTTTTGAATTTGCATGGGTGAATTTGGGCCAGACATGGCTTCTCAGCCTAGCCTACCTTTTAGGGTTGTCATAAGGATAAAATGAACTGGATGATTATGCATGCTGCCTTGGGTTCCTTGCAGGAAAAAGGTGAGATATAAATGCAATGTAATACTGATAACAATAAATAAACAATAGGGCAATATCATACTCCTCTATCCAAATTTATACTGAACCACACTTGGAATATTGTGTACTGTTCCAGTCACTACATTTCCCAAAGCATGCTGTGGAACAACGTACACCAAAATGATCCAGAACCTGGAGCAACTTCCCCAGGCTCTTGACATAAGAAAAGTTACACATTTTGTAACTTTTTACCTTAGAAAAAGACAAGTAAAGGGGGGCATGCCGGAAGTGTTTAAAATTATGCATGTGGAAATACAGTGAATAAAGAAACTCTATTTCATAAGACCTTGAGATGATCCAATAAATGTGAATGGGGCAACAATCAGGTCTGACAAGAGGAAGTATTTCTTCATACAGCACATAGTCATACTGTGGGATTTGTTACAAGAAGTAGTGATAGCCACCAACCAGGATGTCTTTAAAAGAAGAGTAGACCACATGAAGAATAATACTGTCAGAGAGTACTAGTTATGATAGTTTTATCTTCTATATCAAAATCAGTATGTCTCTGTAAGCCAGTTGGTAACAAATATGAACAGGAGGATGCTATTGCATCTAAGTCCTTTCTGGTGGCATTTGTCCACTGAGTGACACAGATAGGTAGGCCTTGTTAATCCAGAATTAGTCCTTCTTATATTATTATGAACTGGAGCGCCAAGATCAGATGAGCCTTCTGCCTGCAAATATTCTAAAGAAAGTAATCAATGAAACGCCTTACTTGTTCTGATCCCACCTTTAGGTCTAATCACTTCAGCTAAAAGGCAGTTTATATAGGTGAATCCTAGAATCTGTTGGGTTCCAAGCTACCATTGGTCACCTAATTCTGTCTAAGGCAACAGTTCCTTCTGGATAATTGCTTTTTGCTGAATTTGCCATGCAGGATAAGCCTTCCCATTAGCCTGAGTGAGGGAATCTCATGAAGAGGCTGATGCTGGGGGTTGAAGGCAGAGAGTCAGCTTGGCCCACATCCCCCAAGCTACCGTTTCTCTCCAGGGCACTGGAAGTTGTTCGCCTTTCACTAGTCTCCAAGTTAGTCTGCTGCTTTCTGCATATCAAATGCAAGGGGGGGACCATCTTGTCCTAAGCCTCAGGCAGCAAAAGCTTTTGGACAGCCCTACCAGCATGTATATTACTCTGGGGTAAAGAGGTAGCCTTTAGCAGGCTGGTAAAAATATTGTGAGTTGATTTTAAGTGGCTGATTTTAAGTAACTTCCTCCTTTCAAATAATGGCATTCCTCCCTGCCCCCGCCTTGCAAATAAACCTTCTATGGCAGCTAATGCCCAGCCTGAGTTTGTTTAGCCATTGCGATTATTTTTCCACGTTTCAATTCCTCATCACACCTTTTTTAATGTAGGGATTCTCTCCCATGCCAGTCCAGGCCAAGACAAAGACGGGCGCCCGAGAGTAAGACAAAGCTGCTGATCCGCCCTCTTCCCACCTTGCGAAGCCAGGAGTACTAAGAACAGCAACCGCCTGATATTTGCGTAGCTCCTGCGAGGTTTACTTTTACAAATCCTCCGCTGTAAAAAGACGTGTCAAAAAAAGAGGGGAGGACTCTTGTCAAGTCCATACGAAACAAGCCTGCGGGCCGTAAATCAGTCGCGTGGAGGCTTTGCTCTGGAGGTGACTTCCTGCTTCGGTTAGCAATCTGGGCAAAGATTAGCGAGGGAGACCAAAAACATTTTTAAAAATACCCAGCTATAGAGCGGAAAAAACAGACAGGGGAGCGCGAAGGAACTATTTATTTTTAAAAAAAAAAAGTTTGTCGGTTTGTAGGGAGGAAAAAGAGCGAGCAGCGGGAAAGAAACGCAAAGGCGGCGGCAGCAGCACGAAAAGACTGAAGAAGTAGTGAAGCTACAGGGGAGGGGATTGAGAGCAAGAGCGGGGCGCGGCGCCAGGCGCCTGCTAGAAAGAGATAGCGGCAGCAGAAGGAGGAGAGGAAGGGGAGCCACGCAGAGCCGGGCTCGGCGCGAGCGAGGAGCAACAACAGCAGTCGCCGGGAGGGGGGCAGTAGCGGGAGCCCGGCGGCGGCGCGGCGGCGGCGGCTGAGGGGAGCTGCCCGGGCCGGGGCTGAGGATGCGGCTGAAGCTGGGCTTCCTCTTGCGCGCCGTGCTGCTGCTCGGCTCTTTCCTGGGGCTGCTGCTGCTCTGGTCGTCGCTCTCACCCCGCGCTGAGGAGCCCAGCCCAAAGGAACGGATTCGGGTGAGTCGCTGGCTCGGAGCCGCCGGCTGGGAGAGGAAGGGGTGTGGGCGTCTCTTTCGCGTGTCGGGGAAGGGGCTGGCGGCGACGGAGGGGTGTCGCCGCACGGACCACCTGCCCGCCGGCCCTCGCTCCCGCCTGACTCTCAGGCGCCGGGCCGGAGCCCTCTTTCTCTCTTCAAGCGGGGGACGGCTTCGGCGCCTGCTACTGTCACTGGCCAGGCTGCGGCCTGTGGCGTTGGCAAGGCCTGAGAAAGGGGATGTTGGAGGCTTCGGACGGGTCCGCAGCGAGCCGCGTCCCCCCTCGCTGTCGGGGGGTGAGGAAGGGCTGGGGCTGCCTGACGGGGCTCCTCCGAAGCGGGCGGAACTTTTGAAGACAGTCCTGGTTCCTTCAGGTGCGCTGCCTGCTTTTGTGTGACCCCTGACCTGGTTGGGGACAGGACGTTGGCCTTAATCCTTTACCGGTGAGTCGACTGGCGAAGAGGAGGAGGAGCAACGCGCGCCACCACCTCGCTGTAATACCTGCTCTCCCTACTTCCACCCTCTTGTAGTAGGAGGGTTTTCAGTTGACTGAAGTGTGTGTGGAGGGGGGGGGGAGTGTGCTCTAGGGTCAGAGAGGCTGTTTCGGTATTGTACTAGTTTCTCACAGGGATTGCGGTCCCCTTACCGTACTGATGCCATCTGAAAATGTACAGCTCTTTCTGCTAATCAATTCAGAATATTTAAATGTTCGAAAATATGTACTTTCTATAACAGACGTTTGAAACCTTACTTGATACATTTGTGTACATTGAAAGAAGTAGGAAACTTCTCTCATTAACTCCTGCGATGTGAGGCCCCTTTTAAGTGTGACACCAGGCAGAGAAGAGTATCCACAGGGTTTTGCACTGGTATCTCATTTAAGCCAGGGCACCACCTGCATATGTACTCTTAAGCACACCAGAAATTGCTAATCCAGCAGGTGTGGCATTGACATGCTAACACTGTGCACTTTCAGTCCAGTATTCAGTGCTTGTGCAGAGTCCAACTGAGTTCAGTGGGATGTATTTTCCACAAAGTGTGCAGCATAGCAGTAGGAACAGAGAGGCTATTTTAAGGGAGACTGTTTGTGCAAAGCTTCAGAGGGAAGTTTTTTCCTGCCCTGTATCACTTTTAAATTGAGCTTGAGTATAACAGGTTGATAAGTAACCTTGACTATGAATTCTTTGATGCTAACAAGACTTTCTAATATAGATCCGTGTCTCCTAACATAAAGATTCAGTAGGGATGCTTTTATGGTAGGAGGTAAGTGCCAGGAAAAGCTTGCTTTGGGATTGGTGTTGAAGTTGTAGGAACTAAGTCACTAAAATACCTTTCATACCTCAAGTTTGGGAAGGTTCTAGATCTTTCCTTTATTCTTTAGCTTATCGTACCTTTATTCATATTTTCATAGATTTCTTCTTTGGTTCTGGATGCCAAATAAACTGCTTATGTTTTGTCTTTGGGATCAGGTTACACCAAGGGAACAGTTTATGCCTGACAATTAAAGTTCAATTGAAGATTATTGGGGAGATTTTGTATTTTATTGTATTTATGGTCTTTGTTTTTGTTTATTTCTGTGAACCACCTGGAGAGCTTTTACTATTGGGCAGTATAGAAATGCATTAATTAATATATTAAGTGTGTATGATACTGTTGGAGAAATTATGGATTATTTCTCCTTGAAAAAAGTAGATCAGCCCTGCATGTTCACTCTTCCTGCTTTCCCTTAGCTTTGCTTGGTTCTTTGCGCATCAGTTGGATTTAGCCTGCACTGTATTAGTTACTAGGTGGCAGTGTGTTTTTATTTTTAACCTTAATGGCAAAGCTCTGACTCAAAGCACATGAACTCAACATAATTAATACAACATTTAACTGCTAATGGTATGCACTCTGTTATGAATCTCATCAGCCTCAGGGTGATCCAGCAGTATGGATCCAGCTCCTATGGAATGTTTTCCCTCTAAAAATGTGTGGAAGGGTCCAAGTGTAGACAATGCAGTAAGCAGCATCATTTTCTCTTGGCTGAGTTCTTTTGTTTTCCTTTCAAACTAAACAAATGCTTAAGAAATTGAACAAGATTTAAATATTTACTTGTTTTGAATTAATCTAATACTTCAGTGAAAACTTACAGGAATGGTCTAGTTGATCATTGCCATCACCAAAACCAGCCAAAATACTGTAGTAAATTTCAAAAATATGTTCAGACATAATACATACAACATTTATGAGAAGTAGATGTCATCAGATTAACTGGAGAGGCATTTCATTTTCATAAATAGGTGTTTTTGACATGCCAGGAGTGGCAAGTTCCTTTCCACTAATTGAATATTCCACCTGCTTGGAGCAATAAAGAGGCTCAGTATTGTTGTATCCAAGTATTAATTACCATAAGGAAGATTTGAATTGCAATGATCTAGCTATTGATGAAATTTGAACACAAAATATTTCTCAACCATTTTATTTGTTCTTTGGTTTATTAGTATTTTAAATAGATTGGATGCATTTTCAAGTTTTCAATTACAGCAATGTCGACAAACTTAATTTTTTTAAAACTCTCAAAGTTCTAGGTCATTTTGTGAACTCTGCAGGTCTGTAGGAAATCACATTCATGCTAGTAGTGGCTTCAGTCATGCACACATGCTCCTTTGCTCCTGTTAACAGTAGGGTTAAAATAAGGAGGTAACCAAGTATGGATTTCTCTTTGTGTTGACTCTATACAGTACACTCTTATTTACAAGACTCTTATTGGAGTATGGATTCCTTCATACCTTCTTAGAGTGTGTCTGTTCACTATAAGAAATCGCTTCCTATATGGAAAGCAGTGGAGATAATTGAATTTTCTTAGGATAAAAAGAATATACTCCTGTCTATGAAGAACAGAAGAACAAAAAAAGCTAAGAAGATGTTTTATACTGAGTTAGTTTATCTAACCAGACAGTGGCAGTCCAGGGTTTCTGGCAGATATCATTCCTATTGCCTGATATTTAATCCTTTTAACTAAAGAAGCCACAGATTGAACCTGAGACTTTTGGCATGCCAAGCATGTGCTCTTTGACTGAACTATGGCCTTCTTTCAGATCATGCCTAAAGAAGTATTTAGTGTTGTTGGATTTTCTTACTATGTACCAAGGCAAACTTAAGCAGTTCAGCAGTCACTACCTATACTACAGCAAATCATATACTCAGTGATCTCTCAAGCAATATGGGTATTGGCTTCTAGAGAAAATACATATAAAATGGGATGTGCGACTGTGTATACTGTTGTTTTCCTTAATGCAACAAGTATGGCATTAAAGGTTGCTGAATCGGTCACCATTGCAAAAGTGCTGTGCCACATTTTCCAGTACAATATATCAGTGGCATTAGAAATGGGTACAGGTCATAAAGTATTATGACTATGTATTCTGAGTTTTATAAAAATCAGTAATAGAATTGCTGAAGGGTCTTTGTAGCTGTTGCGGAAAAATGATTTTTAAAGTTTGCTGTTCCATTGTCATAGTGGTGTAGTGAGAACAAGGGCAAAACTTGAGTTGCCAGGGTGTGAACTTAGGCTTGCCTCAGCACAAGCTGTGTAGTAGAAGTGATTCTTTAAAAAAAAAAAAAAAAACTGATTAATAATGAATTTTCTGATACATTTAAAAGATTAAATTTTGGATATCTCTGGAGAAAATCTTTATTATTCATTTCAATCACATTATACGGAAGGTTCCTGTTGTGAATACTGTACTTGCCTGTGCTGGGTTGTGCAATGTTATATAAGCACTCAGTGCAACAAGAATATTTTCTAAATAATAATTGTTTAACAGTGAACAGCCTGCTTTGTGTAACTGTGCCATAAGATTTGTTTAAAAGTAGTTTGCTGAGGAAATGACATCCTCACCAATGGGGAGAGCACCAACTGCGAGAGTTGCTAGTCTAGCCATGCATGCTTTTGCGGGGTGGGGAATCTCTTGACTGAAAAGGCAGAAGAACATAGTTTAAACAGGATCATAAATCACAGCTTTTGGCCACCTGTATGGCTTGTGAAATCCTGGATAGTTGAGAATTTTATAGTACCTTGCAGAATTTCCTCTTAATTTTGGTGCTCTGCAAGACCCAGCTGAGGGGAAAAAATCAGGTTCAACAAGAAATTTTAATGAGAATAGCTGTAATTTAGAATTTATATCACACCAATTTTTTCCCAGTAAGAGACAATTTATCCAATGAGTCTGACCTGCACTCTGTAGACTGGAATTAAGAGTGAAAATGGTGCACACACGTGCATGTGTGTGTTTGCTTTTGTTTGTGGTGTTGTTATGAGAACAAACAAGAAAAAAGATCATAAAGCACTTTGCACGTGAAAGAGTTGATAAAGCATGCTGTTAGGAAGGATTGTGGGAGGACTGCTGAGGTAGAGGGGGGTTAGTAGAAAGAAACTCCAGCATGTTTTGAGCATGAATTTCTGCTTACCCCTAGGGGATCTTGCTGTATCTGCTTTCCTCTCAGTGTGCAGATGTGTTCATGTAAGCCCATTATTTTTTTCACTTAAAATAGCTGGCATCTGTTTTGTCTTTTTTAAAGGGGGATGTATTAAAAATGTTTTATAAAGCTCTGTGTGAAACAGCTAATTATGGCCTGTGCCAATGATATTATACTGTCTTATGAGATGTGAGTATTTCTGAAGGCTGGTCTGACTAAGGCACTAAAGGCAAGCTTGTGACCAGTGCTCAAGGAAAAAGTAGGTATTACATGGGAGCCCTATTCTGGGAATTGCCAGTGTATTTCTCCTGCTTAAAAACAGCTGTGGGGTGTTGTGGGGGGAGGTTCCACTGGGGAATTCAACTCTTTGTCCCCACATTGGTTTCTTCATTGATATCTTCTCCCTTCCCTTCTGCCAAAGCTGCTGTTGTTTGGCACAGAGCAAGAGAACAACACTCTCCCTTCCTGCTACTTTTGTCTGAGGGTTGGGAGTGGGGGGTGTTGTTTGGGGTGGTGGTGTTGTTT